CTAATTGATTGAATTTTACATTTCCTGATTTTCCTTTTTTCCTATCTTTATTGCATTCTGTTGCTTTCCACAGGTGTTTGACATATGGCATGAAGCCATAAATTCAGGTATAAACTTTCTTGTATTGAAAAAATGGGTATTATAACATTTTATTATTATCCTAAAAGCCTTACCTTATGTTTTTTTATGGTCAATTACTTTGTTTAATGAAAGCTTTAGTATGCTAAACATTTGAGGAAGTTAACATTAACTAATAAAGTATAAATGTTGCTTGAGCAGAGTATTGTAAGCCAACTAACTAAAATTGTTTAAATGTTATTTGCTCTTTATTTGCTGCTCTTTACACAAATCATGATAGCTGTAAAGTAAGAATGCATAGAGTATATTAGGCTAAGTACTGAACATACTTCTTTGTAAGAAATTTGTGAGAATACTTACTTTTTGATAGTATATGCTCATCAGAAAGTAGTAATTCTGATCAAAATATGATAGAATACTGACTTTTACAAAACTTGTGAAAGTATTCCTTTTCTTTCATACTCATTCAGCAAAAACTGAATTTATGAGGTATTTGAGATCTTGACTCATTCCCACAAACTGATTCCAGTTCTACCAAGTGGCCTTCCTCTACATGGGCACAAGGCTTTTCTGCAATCTGACACAAGCTTATGTCCCCATATACTTGCAAGATTCCCTTCACCTGTCGGAGGAATCTGTGGCGTACATCCCCTTGTCATGTACGTGTCAGGGTTCCTTACCACCATGATACTGAAAGCACTCAATAAGTTCATTGGAAGGAAGGTAAGCTTTTTTTAAGTCTCTTGATATTGGGTGTAATTATGGGTAGCAGTTTAAAAGAATATTAATTTTGAATTGTCCTTTGTAACTTGAATGGTTTCTGTTTTAACTTTTGTGCTTTTTGTATGACTTGGAAATGTATTCTTTTTCTCCCTGGAGATCTTCATTCTAAGGGTGACCATTTTTTTATGATATAATACCCCCTCTGTATTTAATTCACATCCTTCCCACCATTTGCCAAGGCGTCCTTCATCCTGGGCACCCTCATAGGCGGAGCAGCCTGCATTGGCATCTGGCTCGGAGAGGGGGATGTCTACTGCAAGTACCTCCTTTACGTGGTGACTGCCATGCTAGGGGCAGGTGGCTCCATCATGCTGATCACGTCCCTTTCCATCACGGCAGACCTCATTGGCCCAAATATTGAGTCAGGAGCTTTTGTCTATGGTGCCATGAGCTTTACAGACAAGCTCTCCAATGGGATAGCCGTTATGTTAATCCAAACCTGAATCCCTGCACGTAAGTATTTCTGTGAGTCTCAGATCTCTTGATGGGTCATGCAGACAATGTGCCTTGGTGTTTCTTCTCTTGAACAGCCTTGTGTGGACTCTGTTTTGGACTGTCAGTCATGTAAACTTGCTTTTCTTTGACTTGTTTGTCTGTTTTTGTCTATTTTATCAAGTTATTGATTGTTTTTTTCTTGCCAGTGAATGAGTCCTCTTGTTATGTTTTAAAATCCAACAAAACTACTATTTTATGTAGTACTTTTTTGCATGATTTGACATGCAATGTGTTCTTTGCTACTAGATGCATAATACTTGCACACAATATCTGAGCTAGCTAGACAAAACTGTTGCTGGTGCATCAGGAAGCTTATCTGAATGTTATATAAAGAAACTTTTAATTATTATAGGAAGCATCAGCTAAAAGACAGTTTAAAGAGTTGTAGTGATTAACCCAATTTAACATTTGTTTCAGCACAAACCCCATTAGGTGCGTAAATACAAATTTTGTGCATGAAGTGCTTCACGGACCTCTGCAGGTGCATGTCTTATTAACCCCCACTTCCCTGCTATTGCATGGTTTCTATTTCTCTAACAGTATGATAACAAAATTAATAATAACACGATAGAGGCAATAAAAATGAGATTCCAGAGTAATTTAAGCTATACTCATTGAGATCATCAGCCCTTTCATGAGTCTCCAGCGTAGGGAAATGATTATTTGGATGTCATCCTTCCATGTAAATGTTTTGTTGTATAATCCTCTTCTCATAATCTCAGTATATTGCCAGTTATCAGTTACTCTCATTTTATTGTTTGTCTTTTAGCTATTAGTTTTCCTCTTCTTTAGCTCTAGTGTCTCATACATTTCAAAGGACAGTAAGGATTGGACAAAATATGCTTTTACAAGAAGTTGAAGGGGATAGGTAATTGCAACTTGCATTAGAACGCATTTTTTTTTTCTATTTCACTGGAGAGACCGTTTCTGTCTGATACCTTTGGAACATGCCAGTTTTAATTTGCTAAGTTCGCCACATTTAATGTGTATTGCTAAGCGATAAGTAAAATTCTGTCATCATCAGTCACCTTCTAGTTAGGTGATGTGGACTATATGTGAATATTGTAAATATGTTTATAAACTTTGTTTTGACAGTCAAGATAGTTGAAGACTGCACCTATTACAATATATATTTCTTCCCAACTCTTAGAGCATGTTGTCCAATGTGCTCTAAATATTACCGCGATATCCTCTTCTACTGCTGTGGTGGAGCTGCAGTCCTCGGCCTCCTGGCACTTCTCACTCTCCTGCCTGTCAAAATAGGTGATCGCTCAAAAGGTAAGTTGCCAGTTCAAGGTTCAAGTTTTGGTCCAGTTTCTTCTCCTTATAGCAAAGTGACTAAAACAACAACAAAAGTGTATGGAGCATGGAGGATTGGCTGTTTTTTTCTTAGTTAGATGAATGGATTGGTTTGTGATGTGTGTTGTATGTGGAGTCCTGTTAGGTGTTTCTCATAAGGCTTTAGGGCTGTAGTTACAAGTTTGGAAAAATGTCAGAAATATGATGTAACTTAGTGTTTATTTTTAGAAGTTTGTATATTTTTAGATATTTGTCTTCATGTGTCAATAGTATATATAAAGTGTATTTTTGATATTGATGTTTAGATAAGTATTTGTAAGTTGAGATGAATGATTGAAGGATGATGTATTTTCACTATTTCTAGGTTGAGGAAGATAAATAAATACATATATGTTTTTAAGAGTTTGGCTGCCATAGATACTCATAGTGTACAAGTTCTATAATTGATGTCCTTTTAATTCTCAATTCGAAATAGAGTATAAAGATATGTAAACGAGGATTCTTTTATGCACTACAGCAGGAGACTCGGCCACACCCACAGCTGACTCGAGCAGTAGAAGCATAGAGGAAGACACCGTGGGGAATGCACCTGCCTGTATCAAAGCAGACATGAGCACAGTAGCGTGTGTAGGGCCTGCAGTCAGTACAATGGCTGCAGCTGGAGTAGGACCAGGAATGGGTGTTTGTGGTGGCAGCACCTCCTCAGCACAAGGTGAAGGTGTGTAGTGCTTATGATTAGATGCATGAAATTATAATGTTGTAGCATGAACTAACCCCCTTTTACAAGATTGCTGAAGTGTTGTTAGTTTTAAACTTTATTAACCAAAGTACTTCTTGCTGTATTTCACTGTATTTCTAGGACTAGTTTTATGTGATGCTATTGAATGCTTATCATCTCCTATGTTATCTCTAGTTGGTAAAGCTTAGGCTGAATGAGCATTTACTACAGATGCAGTCTTCTCTCAGGTAAGGAGTCAGAAAAAACATCTTCAAACACTAAGGATGTGCCCATAGGCAAAAGTCCTGCATGTGCCAAAGCAGATGTTAGCACAATAGCATGCGTGGGACCTGCCATTAGTATTATGTCGGCTGCTGGGGTGGGGCCTGGAATGAGTGCGTGTGGTGATAAAATGTCTTCTGTTACTGGAGATGGAGGTTTGTTGCCCATAGCTTATGCATGATGAAAAATAATTCGTATTTGATTAGGGACATAGTTTTATTAATGTAGATTAATCAGTTGAGACATTGTGCTTTTTGCATCTTTATGATAAGTCTTTGCTTGCACTTTTTTGTTATTGTTATATTGTAATTTGTCGTAGTGCCTATGCTTTTTTTCATATGAAACCTCATTCTGAATACTGTTTGTAGTTTTCACCACTTTGTATGCATATAAGGATATATCATTGATTGATCTTAAACTTTCCCTTGCAGAATACACAGCTGTCCCGAACTCAGTTGTGAGGGTTAGAGTCCGAACACACTCAGTAAGCAGTGATGAAAGTGATAATGTCTCCAGAGCTTAAGAATGTGATCAATATTAAATGTGTATAAAACCAAATGTATTTTGCCATATATTTGTACTTCAGTCATCCCCTGCTTAATGTTTGTCACTATTCATTTGCACTAATGTCTGGGCTATCCAGCATCCAAAATCATATTATATGGCTCCCAAATGTAGTGCAAATTTAGCTATGTGCACTACTACAGTCATAACCATGTCATGAAACACTTCACCTGCCCAAACATTTCAAAAATAGCAGTAAGGTGGTGATTTGAGTTTCATTATTTACCAGTATGACATGATATTTGCAAAGTGATTTATTATCCAGAACATATCAAAAACTTTAAGTGGGGGATTCCTGTATTAGCACATGCCAGCATGATGCACAGGGATACTGTAATGAATGGGAACAAAGTGTTTTACTCGTATACCCAGGCATATTGTTGATGTTTTTTGTGAGAAGATTACTCATCCTGAACAAGAGACTATATTTTTATATTAAAAGAGTTTCAGGGCATTTTGGCACTTTTACTTACTGAGAATGTCATCTCACAGTCCATTTTTTCTGTCTGTGCAGTAGTAGGACTTTGGACCAATTGATATTAAAATTCCAAAGGTTGATAGTTATAGTGGCATTTTTTGGTAATGGTTGACATTGATCAGTTATGCATATTCATATTTTTCTCTGTTCTACTGTTGTTACTATTGTTTTTTCTCTTTTTTTGTGAATTCTACTTCTTGGGATATTATTAGGCATATGGCTTTGGCTACTAGGCAAAACAAAATTCAGTAATCTCACTGGTCATGAAGTTGTGAAAATACTACCCAATTATTGAAGTCTGTCACCAATGATTTCATTTTAATAATTTTGTTTCAGAATGAATTTAAAAGGGCAGACTTTAGATGTATGAAATAATGTGTATTTCATGACATCCACTATAATTAGCTTTGCAAACATTTGTGGAAATGTGCTTTTTACCCTTTGAGAGCCATGTTCGGATATCTCCAAATGAAGCATTTTATGGTACCAGCATGTTATTGGACTTTGTGGAGGAAGGGCTTATGGTACCAGCCATTCTGAAAATCGACTGCAGCTTTCAAAGAGTTAAGCAGCAAGAATTGAAAAGAATATGCTTGATTTATAAAAAGAAACTGCCCTTTCATTTTACATAAAACTTGCCTCTTGCTTTATATGATATGTAGCAAAACACAGAATCAGACAGAAACCTTGGTATTCAGATTATTATAAAAAAAATTGTTGTATTTTTTTCTTGATATCTTAGTCCTCTTCCTCTTCATACTTAGATATACATTGTCATATATATTTATATAAGATGTAAAGGGAAAGTATGTAGACACAGTTTTTATATAATTTGTAAGATGAATTGTAAATGAAATTTATAATTTAAATATAATAGTAAATATAATTGTAAAACTATGTAATCCAATATACTGAATTAGATTTTATGAACATTTAAACAAGATAAAGAAGTTTTTCATCTAATGTGTGATAATTTAATAATTATTTTCTAATATTAATTAATCTAATAATTCTCTTTGCAACAAGCAATTAAATGACAAATTAAGGAGGTGCCATTTTGCATCATTTGTATTTGAACGAAAGATTTGGCCATCCTACATCCCCTTACCCTACTACCCCAGTCTTCCATCCACCCCCCACCCCAGTTGCTGTGGTTTATTTAATTTGTGATAAGAATGATTGATCTTGACAAATTGTTGCACCCTGGATTCTAGGTGTGCTAAGGAGATGCAGAGATTTACCTGCAGTTTATTCCTGATGGTGCTGCTGCGTGGTTGTGTTTTATCTGTATTCTATAGAATTGTCTTTTTCCTTGTTTTCTAGAGATATTGATATTCTAGATGCAGGAAGATATTTTTCACACTGGTCAGATTATGTAAACATTGTGGATCAACTGTGATATGTTGCCAGTACAGAAAAACCTTGAATTCCATGTAGTATTGTATATTGTGAGATTATGGGATCTGTTTATAAAGTTTATATTGTAATTATGATGATTTTGAACAAAGCATGAATGGTTGTATTGATATGTGTTATTTAAGCTTCATGTGTATGTCTTATATGAAATATATGATAGGTTACTTAATTTGTGTGTGTGTGTGTGTGGGGGGGGGGGGGTTGCGCGTTCGTTGCGTGTGCGTGCGTGTGCGTTCGTGTGCGTGTGCGTGCGTGTGCGTTCGTGTGCGTGTGCGTTGTGCGTGTGCGTGCGTGTGTATATATGTATGTGTGTGTGTATATATGTATGTGTGTGTGTGTATATATGTGTGTGTGTGTGTATATGTGTGTGTGTATGTGTGTGTGTGTGTGTGTATATGTGTGTGTGTGTGTGTGTGTGTGTATGTGTGTGTGTGTGTGTGTGTGTGTGTGTGTGTGTGTACCATGTTATTGAGAGTGATTATTTTATATGATAAAAAATGATAAATGGACTACAAAGTCTGCCACAATGATGGCTTGGATAAATGCATGAAAAAGTTATGATGGGATATATATTTGTGTATGTTTTCTTCCCAGATAGAAAACTTTAAAAGTTATCATAGTTTATTACTCTTTACCTTGCTTGCTCAACAGGTGATGTTTTGGATAAGAAATTACTTTATCCACTTAATAAAAAGGAAGTTATCTGAGTAGTAAACTTAATGACTGGCTTAAATACATATGCCTGTGATTACTATAGTGATGGAAGTGTTGCACTTGCATAATATAACATGATTTAAATCTTTAGAGAGATGTAAGAGTCTTTAGAGTGAAAGGGAGATAGATACCTTGATACCAGTTTATATGCAAATTTGTTATTGTTAAGAAATCCATACTTTATATTCCTGAAGGACTTTTGGGTTGTCCAAAGAGTGCTTTTAAACTCAGAAGTGAGAAATTGTCAAAAGTCCACAATTCTTCCGGTTGTTAGATATATATTTAATGAGAAGAAAAAGCATTTACATTATAGATGTTTTTTATATATGCTTTTATTAATTCCTGAATAAAACTTTTTTTTTTTTTATATACTCTATTATGTATGTATATGAATTCAAGATTTCTCTGCACTTCCTTTTTTTATAAAGAATAATAAATGATATTTATCAGATTAAAAATATATTGATTGGTAGATAGTTGTTTCAGTTTATCCTTATTTCCTGACTTCCTAGATAAGGAGAGATGACCACATGATTGGGTTTTCGAAGCATATAATTGTAATTGATAAATATGATTGTCTCCCATTCTGCTTGGAAGAAAAGATTTTGTAGCTATTGTGTGTATTGCTTGAGTTGAGATTTGCGTAAAATATTTGGTTTGTTAAAACGTTTCCAGTCCATAAAATTTGTATCACTAGATATGAAATATAAGTATCGTTCACATTTTATAGTGTACTGCAATGAGGTACGGAATGTTTAAAGAGAAGGTGTAAACTGCAGTTGAATTTGAGATTCATTTCAACTTGATTTTGTATGCAGATATATACAAGTGAATTGCATATTACATTTAAAGTAACTATTAATGTGCACGTTATAATGTATAATATAAGACTTCACAGTATTTCCATCTGTAATTTCTTGTGCTGCAGAGGATGTATACTACTATTTATTATTATTTTTTTTTTTTTGATAGAGGAAATATAAGAAGTTGTAAACATGTTTTGATTCTCGATATTATTTAGTTATGCAATATAATAGCCAACTTTACATAATATGTTTCTTTAAAATAGTGTTATGCATATGGGTCCTGGGACCTCACTAATACAGTGCCATGTTTGTGGGTATTACATGAGTATATGGTGCCAGTGTGATAGGGTCAGACTATTTGCTTGCGGAAAGTTTTTTTTTCCCTTTTCTTCTTTTCAAAAATGCAAATCAAGTGATGGAAAAGGTGCTGAGAGAAGAGAGGCAGTCTGAGAGGACCAAACGCTGCTTGAAAATTCATCTGAGGTGTAGTGGTCTCCACGTGTGATGTGTGAGACAATTTTTCACTGATTGAAGGAGGGATAAATGAATCTCATAAAACAGTCTAGTAATATATCTCTGAACTGTGACCGTGACCATTGTAGAAAAAAGGTTGAATGTGATTGAATGTCTTTGCAGTTCAAGAAATATATTTAACCAGTTTATTTCTTCCTCAACAATACTTACTGACGAAAACATGGTCGAAATCAGTCTTATACATTTCTTCCACTGTGAAGACATTTCTCATACACATTTTCTTTGTGTATCGCTGTTTCCATCCCTGATCTTCCCGAGTACAACGAGCCTCATCAGTATATGCATTTCGGCATTTACAGTAGATGCTTCGGGGCGTACGAAACTTTTCTCCTTGTAACGTTTTCTTTTTCTTCATTTAATGTGCGTGTGTGTATGTTTGCTTGTAAACTCTTATCTCTCTGTTTGTAATGTGCGTGTATTTATTTACCATGTGCGTGATTACCTGGTTAGCGTGTTTGCGTGTTTATTTGTCTGTATTTATGTTTGAACTGTTAAAAAGCATATCCAGAAATAACTGAATTGCAGTAATAGCAGCGTAACATTCCATTTTTTCAATGATTTCTAGCACGCAATCATCGGAATAATTATGGTGAACAAAATTTAATACAAATTTCGCATTTGGACATCTGAATATTTCGGCGAAAATTTGGTATTTCAGTGATGTTATTCAGTGTTATGATAGTATTCTTGAAGACCGTGCAATATAATCGCTACGAACATTAGAATCAGTGATAATAAGGATGATAACGATAACGATGACGATACCATTAATAAGTAAGAACGACAATTATGATAATGATAGCATGGACATTGATAAAGAAAAACAATAATTTTGATAATTGTAACGATGGTAATTATAATAGTAGTGATGATAATAATGATAATAATAATATTGATGACAATAACAAGGATGATAGTAATAACAATAATAATAACAATGATAATGATGATAATACTGATGATAATCATAATGATAATTACAAAATAACAAAAATGATAATGAGGATGAAAACAAATGGTAATAGTAATGATAACAGTAATGCTAA